ATCACTTAATAGCTCTGGACTATTTTTAGAAAAAAAAAGGATAAAAAGATCATTATAAAAAAAGTGAACATCAAAAAGCCTTCATCCTACTACACGGCTTCAGCATCCATTTAACACTCTATACCCTTGATGATGGAGGAAACAGTTCTACCAGTAGTGCCATAGAATCACTGCAATCTTCTCTGGCTACTATTTATAACGTTTTTGAATAAGTACTATATAACTAAAAACAGAAATGTGAAATTTCAACTTGCAGTGACATAACGAAAGAGTATCTTTGCATAAAACGATTAAAGGGATTCTCTTCTTCCACTTGCTGTCCATTGTCTTGATCTGCTGTCTTTAGGCTCCAAAGGGTACAATATCTTTTGTCCTTTGAGAAGATATATTCGTCCAACACCCGCAACCCCACCAACACTTTTCTTCCTATTTATAAAGAGCAATCTTGCTTATCTCTTTCCCATACCATCATCCCTTGACTTAGAGTAATCTACCCTCTCTAAAGCACCCATCATTTTCTCTCATTTCCTTTTTGTTGTTCAAATCCACCTAATATTTCGTTTTTCTTGTAATTTTCTCCTAGCCCAAGACCCAAGTCAAGAGTGCTCCCAAATTCCAAGAGAAGTAAAGGTTTTATATTTTAGATGGCATCATCTTGGACTCCAAGGCAAAACAAACTATTTGAAGAGGCCCTTGCTATATATGATAGGGAAACCCCTGACAGGTGGCAGAATGTGGCAAAAGTAGTGGGAAAATCCGTTGAGGAGGTTAAAAGGCACTATGAGATCCTCAAAGAAGATGTCAAGCGCATTGAGCGTGGTCAGGTCCCATTCCCTTATACAGGTATGGCGCCGCCATTTCCAAACTTTGCTTCTTTTGACCCCTTTTATTCAACTAACAAAAAAAAAGAGGGATTCTTTTTTATAACTAATTTTACCCAATTTTTATTGTTTTCTGATTTGTCCCGTTCTACAAATACAATCTTGCAACCGCCATTTCAGAATACATATGCACGTAAAGGAATGTGTTTGCTATCTTTTATTTTAATTTAATAAATCACAAGTAGTTTTGCGCTGCCATTTTCTTGCAGTTTTAAGTTATCTAAACCTTCCAATACCAATCCAATCCGAGAGTTTTTGGTCCATAAAATAATGTGGGAAAAGTGTAAATTGACACCTCTCATCTCAAATGTCATTTTCATGTTACCAAGTGATTTCTTTGCTCAAATGTTATAGGAAAATGTCTTTTTTTTTAAAAAAAAAATCAATGGGTGTGTATGTGTTTTTGGAGATAAAGAGAGATAAGAAGAAAAAGCAACGGATATAATTAATAATGTACTAAAAAAGATCAAAAGAGGGATAACATCATAGATATCAAAGTTGAACGATAAAACTCACTACTGAATCATGTGATCATAACTCATAATTAATTCAATGAGAAACTATTAGATTAACTCTTGAACTTTTTTAAAACCTATTATGCTATTTTCAAAAATATAGTCTAACCTAAAATACTTGTTTAAAGCTCTAACATTTCATGATAAGACTTTATACAAACTATGTTTTGAATTCCATTTTAATCCTTCTATATTAATGAACGTATGATTTTAATCTCTCGATGTTTTTTGAATTGAATTTGGTTTATCAATTTGTTAATTGTTAACAATTATGTTAATCGCTTCTTCTTCTTCCTCTTTACATAACACATCACATTTTTATCTTTTTACTCAAATAATTAGAGTTTTAGAATATATTATTAATTTAAAAAATATTTTAAAAAGTTCATATGACTGAGTACATAATACCTTTTAATATATTGATTTTTGGTAGTACATACTAATTAAGCGAGAGTTTATAATTAGATCCTCTATGAAGGCGCTGCGCTTAGTTAAATTAAATAAAGTTAAAAAAGTGAACTGTATGATGAGAGGAAGACATTACATATTAACGTAGATTTCTCATTAATATCATAATGTTGGCGTTTACGTCTTGGTAGCGAGAGGTATAATGCAAAATAACTATATTATAGTATCATTAAAATTTTCAATTTACTTTTTCAATACAACAAATACTGTTATATTAATTTTTTGCAAAAAAAAATTGAAACAATTGTCGTAATTTTTTTTTTTTTGCATTTATAAAATTTACAATACTTTTAAAATTGATTTCAGCTCATTTATGATATAAATTTAATTATACATATGATTGTTTTTTATTGGTTTATATGAGAAATGTACCAACATCCTTTCAAAATCAAAGGTACTGAAACAATTACCAAAACTGAGTATCATTAACAAAATTTAAGAATTTCTAATATCATGTGAGAAGGAACTCCAATTCGGAGTTAGTCGATTACTAATAAAAAAACTTGTACCCAGGAAATAAAGATATGAAATCAGAATGATGTTTGCTTTTCGCTCTGATAAATAATGTTTGTACAAAAACTTTGCACACATGAATCTCAGCGATCAAACGTGAGTAGCTAGCTAGCTGGGGAGAAAAAGAGTAAAAGAAAAGAAAACTACTGTGATTGAAGTTATGTTGTCTGTGGACAAATCTGAATCGTCCTACTACAGATAAGTTAGAAAGCCGTGCAATGACCTGAAATTTTGTTTTTTCATGCTTGGCAGGTTCTTGATGATCCAGAATCAAATCTAATATCACCAAACTCAGTTGAGTAGCGTGTTCCTAATAAATAAATGTATCACCAGCAGCAGCAAGTCCTAAAGGACTTTGCTTTCTATGTAAAATATGTTTTTCTAGGTTGTATGGTCATATAAGCTTCTGTTTGTCAAGATATAAGGACTTTCCACCGTAAATTAGCACGCTTTTAAAACATATATTGTGAAAGAATTATATTTTAAAAATTAAAAAAATATTATTTTAATTAAACACCAGTAATTTAATATGCCATTCATAAAATTTTGAAAATATACATATATTTATATTTTAAAGTATTTTTACTTTATCATCAAAATAAAATAAACTTTTACAACACAGTTCTACAATATCTTTTAAATATAATTTTTTAAAATTAATTCTTTTAATATCAATTATTTCAAAATTGATCCATTCTATGATATTCAAAAATAATATAACTTAAACCTGCACGCAAGATAAAAATATCTATTTAGACATTTTTAAGATTGTAGTATTATTGAAGATGGGATTGATGATTCTTCAATATGTGTATATTTACACTCCATATTTTTTATTTTTCTAAAAAATATAACCTTATTTAATTATTTTTTAAACAAATGTCGTAAACATTTAAATTCTTTTGTTTATCTCCTAAAACAAATGTTGAAAAGCATGGTTATAGGTGTGGAATGGTTAAAAATGACTAATTGGAGTGTTAATAACTTCACACTGTTATGGAGATGGATTTTAGATATATTTTTATCCTAATATGAAATCTTTTAATTCATATGCAATTTATATATTTTTTAATCCTTAAAAATTATAAATTGTACTTACTTTCTATCTTTAAGACAAAATTACAATTATATTACTTTTTATTGGACGAAAAAATAAAAATAAACAACTTTAAAAAGAACTAAAACAAAACAAAAGATCATATTTTGAGGTGTTACGAATCTTAGATCAAATCATAACACAAACAATTAAGGTTTTAATTTTCTTTTATTAATTCACATTGTTTCCAATGAAAATGCTTGTAAAGATATTTTAATGCTTAAATAACAAATTTTTATATAAGAAAGTATAATTATTTTTTGGTAAAACGAGTAAAAATTACGAGCTTATAACTTTTTTATATGCGAAGTTAACTGCAAAGTTTTGATGGAAATTAATAACTCGATAAATATTTTATAAAATTAAAATTGTTCAACAAATTAATTGTGAAATTAGCTTATTTGTATTAAATGAATTAAAAATAATAATAACATATTAATATAATGTTAAAATTAGTTATTATTTATTTTATTTATTTATGATTAATTAATTAAATAATTATATAAAAATAAAAATTCTTTTCATGTGTATTTAAATATGAAATATTTTAAGACATATTTTTTTAAGATGAAATATATTTGGATGAAAGAAATATAAAGAAATAGAAAAAAAATGAGATTGTTGTGAAGATAAAGAGAATAAAAATAAATATGTACATGAGGTTTTATTTGTGTAACAAGTATATTATCTCTTTTGAAAATAAAGGATAAAAAATTATAATTAAAATATTGATAACTAACTTTTTAAAATTAAACTCTACTTTATATAATTACAAACTCATTTCATTTTTTATTTAGCAAACAATTCTATAAATTTATTGATTAAGTTAATAAATTACAAGCTTCAAAATAAATTACCTATAGCAAATATAGCCTACATTACATCTTTAGTGTAACTTTGTTTTGTTGTACTAAATAGAGATTTACTCGTTAAGTGCTTTTTCAAATTTGTCATCATAAAATTTACCTTTAAAGAAAAAGAAACAAGCATAATCCTTGTGATTCAATTATATTTAAAATTCACAATGAAAATGGGAAATTAAGTTTTAAGGAATAAAGATTAAGAAATATATAAATTTTTTAATTATTTTAAAATTCACCAATATACTTCAAAAGTTACGAAAACTAGTTTATTGACTCAATATAGTACTCGATATAGTATGTTTTATGTACACGAGATAACTTTTAAAATTTAATTTAGCCAACTCCATAATAAATGTTATCACAACTTATAATTTAATAAGTTTTAGAATCAATGGATTGTTTTTTTTTTTGTTGAATCAAATTGATGGATAAATATAACTAAATAAATACCAGAACAAAATTGTGTTTTCCTGCCATGAAAAGGTCGAAATGTCGAATAACACTACCCGAACACAGGGTGGATGTTAATGAAGTGACGCAAGATGGAAGGATCCACTGGGCCAAAAGCCCACCGCCACGCCCTGAAGTCGTTGGATCAGTTTCCGTGTTGGAACAATAAACGGCAGTCGTTTAAGCGTTTGAAGTGCTCTCCACGAAACGGCGCAACGCCATTTCAACTTTTTTCCATTTCCCGTTTAAACCCTAGCTGAGGGTTTAAGCTCGCGCCACGCAGCGAACCCTCGTTTCGTTCCCGAAACAACACTGAACTTGTTCATGATCCATTTCGAAGGCACATTCTAAGCCATGGGAGCAGCTAGGTTAACCTCGTGCGTGGCCGTAACAGCTGCTGCTGTGGCCTCCATGTCCACGCTCTCCGATCGTGCCTACGCCGAGTCTCCCTTTCGCTGGCCTTTCTTCACATCTTCCCCTTCCAATTCGCCTTCGCCGCCGAATCAGGCTTCTGACACCAAGTCGGAGCCTCCGGCGCCCGATGAACCCAATAGGTCGGGTTTCGACCCGGAATCGTTAGAAAGAGGAGCCAAAGCTCTCCGCGAAATCAACAATTCTTCCTATGCCAAACAGGTTAGAATGTTTTTAAACGATAAATAATGTGTGTTCATTGCGTCAGGAAGGATTGTAGTTTTCTGATTTTTTTTTTCTGGTTTTGTTTTGCAGGTGTTTGATTTAATGCGGAAACAGGAACAAACTCGCCTTGCTGAATTAGACGCTGAGAAAGTTCATTATGAGCTGATTCAGTCTCAAGGAGATATTGTAAGTTATCGGTCATAAAGATTATTTCCAAACTTTCATATCGTGTAGCTTTTAAGCTGGCGTTCGTAGGTGGCTCATGGTATTCTTATTGTCATTTCTATTTTTTGCTCTAAATGCTGTGCTTTACACCATGAGAATTTTTTACTAATATTTGTGAATATGATGCTTACTTACTAAATTACTATTACAAGTTAAGGACATATTTTATTTGGGTAAAGTAGGAAAATAGATCAAACCAGCTTCTTAAAGACCTGGTACAGACATCCATAAAGCTTGTCGCCTCAATCAACCAGCAACTGAAACTGGGCTGGCTAGTTCCCACTGGCAACTTTGTCAACATTTTGTTTCCTTTGCAATTTTCCTGTTGTGAACCAAGCCAGCCCGATGTTGCATTATTATAAGTTTTGATCATTGTCATTTTCCCCGCTGTGGCCAAAACTGTCATTTCAATGATTGGAGGGTATTGTAAATCTATCTGCATCCTAGGACCAATCATTATAGGGAATCAATATATTGTACATTTTTTACTTTTTATGTATTGCCGAATAAATTTCATTGCAGGAGAGGCAGCGGAAAATGGCTGAAGAACAACGGAATCTAATACAAGAGCAGGCCCAGAGACAGGCACAGGTGATGCGATATGAAGATGAATTGGCAAGGAAAAGAATGCAGGTGCAGGCTTAATAAAGAACAATATACTCTTCATTTAATTTGTGAATTTTGAATGTTCCCTGCTTATTAAAGTATGCAGGTGCAGGCCATGGTAGCTATTGGCTTTAAAAATTGTGGATGTAATTGGAAAATATATGCAAAACCATGCTAAGCTCGAGATTAAACATATGTTTTTTAAATTCTTTTTTGTACTTTTGGTCCTAAGCACTGGATATGCTTTTGCTAACAACCTATCCTTTTTCAGCCCTTCTAAATATTTTTTAACTTAAATAAAGGCATGACCTTAGCTAATGATTGGCTCAAAAACTTCTGAAAGTTATCCCCCTCCTTATGCTGGTGTTTAAAAGTCTGTAGCAATAGGATTTATGGTGAAAATTCCAGAGTGGTCTAACTTTTGGTGAATATTTGGATTGTCAAAGCCCTATGTCTCCATATTTTAAATTTCATTAGGTTAAAATATTTTAGGTAGAATAGTTATCCATAAGTTTCTGTTTCACAGGCAGATCATGAAGCTCAAAGGCAACATAATGTTGAATTGGTCAAGATGCAAGAGGAGTCTTCTGTAAGAAAGGAGCGGGCAAGACAGGCTACCGAAGAACAGATTCAATCTCAGCAGCGTCAAACTGAGAGAGAAAGAGCTGAAATAGAAAGAGAAACTATTAGAGTTAAGGCAATGGCAGAGGCTGAAGGCCGAGCCCATGAAGCAAAATTGACAGAGGATCATAACCGGAGAATGCTCATAGAACGAATGCAAGGTGAAAGAGATAAATGGCTTGCTGCAATTAACACAGCTTTTAGTCACATTGAAGGTATGCAACTGATAAATGCATATGTTGTCATTAAAATCTACATTTGGCTTTTACACGAGGATGTTCTGCGGGTATTGATTGCTTTGCCTGTATTGTTCTACGTACTCCTATTTTTGGATAAATTTCTATGTGGTTTCATCATGTCAATATCTGTTATCCTATTTGTAAATGTGATTACATGAGATTAATGTTGATTTGAATATACCTAATTTTTGCTGTTATTTTCAGTGCTTGTGTGCAACAGTAGCCATTGTTAGCAAAAGGGTTATTAACTTATAGCTATCGATAAATTTTGCCAAAGTTAAAATCATGCTAAAGAATAAACTGCCATGGTATGTGGAAAACCAAAATGCATATATGTTTATGTGTCTGCACATGTTTTCTGTACATGCTGATGCAGAAAATGGATATCTACTTGTATTAATATTGCATACCTTCTGATGGTATGGGAAAAATCTTGTCAGTAATAATTCCCAGAATTGTTAATCTTATTCCATCTCACTAAATCTACTTTGCCATCTGTCTTCTGACAATGTGCAGGAGGTCTAAGGGTTTTATTGACTGATAGGGACAAATTGCTTATGACTGTTGGAGGAGCTACTGCACTAGCTGCAGGAATATATACAACTAGGTACATGTGCTGTATTTCTTGATGCAGATTTTGAACTGAGTAACATAATTACTGAGTTTTTAAGTCTGTTAATATTTTTTTTCAATGTTTTGCTCAACATTATTATGGTTTTAAGATACAAACTACAATCATTTTATGTATGTTACTATTATGATGTTTGTCAATGTACTTTATCCTACCAAAAACTCTCTGGAAGTTGGAAATTAGTTGTAACCAAAATGCATAATCTAGATGTATAATAGCTGTTTTATGGTGCTACTGAATACTAAGCAGGTGTATGGGGACATATCAGTGAGACGGTAACATCCAGGAATTTAAGAAAGGAAAGGGAACAGTAAAAGAGCTTATTTCTGTATCTTACACCGCAGAAGTGATTGCCACTACTTAGAATTCAACTCTCATCCAATTACCAACCAACCTTTCATTCCCTGCCCTAATAAAATAACAAAATTACTGATAAAATAACGGTTTTTAATGCTATGATGTTTCCTCCTCCCTTTTCAATGATAAACCACTACAAACCTTATTTATGTTTAAATATCGTCTTGATTCTTGCACCACTTCGAAATTCTTATATGCAATCCTGAAAACACCATAATGTAATGAAGTATATCCCCCCCCAAGTTGATCTGCAAGCTGGTGCAGTGGGTTGGGTCAACTTTTGGTGAATTGTGTCTTCAGGGACATGAAGTTTTTAAATTTCATCTAGTCTTTCTCTGGATCATATTTGAACTGGGTTTACAGAGCTTAAAATAAATCTGGACTCAATCCCCTAGTTCTCTAATTCACAATGATTTGAATTCTGCCTATTTTTTTATTTTTTTGTGAAATGATATCTAATTCTATTTTATTTTACCATCTTTTTCTATAGAGAGGGTGCTAAAGTCACATGGGGATATATTAATCGGATTTTGGGGCAGCCATCATTGATCCGGGAATCATCCATGGAAAAGTTTCCAGGGTCAAAGTTCATTTCTCAAGCCAAGCATAAATTTCTAAATTATAGTACTTCAGCCAGGGCAGAAAAGTCTGTCGGTAGTCAAAATGGTCTTGGGAATGTAGTCCTCCATCCATCACTGCAGAGAAGAATAGAGCATCTTGCACGGGCAACATCAAATACCAAGGCCCATCAGGCACCATTTCGTAACATGCTTTTTTATGGGCCTCCTGGCACTGGTAAAACAATGGTTGCAAGGGAAATAGCTCGAAAATCGGTATGATGATTGGTTCTTTTGTACATGGTCCTGATTTATTTATATGATTTGTTTCATTATTTATGTTCTTTTTTTCTGACAGTCTGACAAGTTTCTGGATGTAGAATCAGCAAATATATGAACAAAATGAATTAAAATTAGTTGTCATGCTCAAATTTTGTTTATTTTTATACTACCAGTGGTTTGGTTTATCTTATTACCATTTTGCGTAAGTTAGTCACTGGAAATTTATGGTTCGTTCATTATTTGTGCTTTATTTACAGAAATCGTTTAGAAAGGTGTCTTGAACTACTGTTGACTCTTTCAATTTTGATGTGAAGGGTTTGGATTATGCCATGATGACTGGAGGAGATGTTGCACCTCTGGGCCCACAAGCTGTTACCAAAATTCATGATATATTTGATTGGGCCAAGAAATCTAGAAAAGGCCTATTGCTTTTCATTGATGAGGCAGATGCTTTCCTTTGCGAGTAAGTTTTGGAGTTTAAAATACATTTTGAAGACTATTATAAAATATAACTGTATTTATATTGCTATATATCAGGGTAGCCAGAATTATTTGGTTTATGTAGTTTATCTAAAATGTGAAAAATGTAAATATTGTTCTACGACAGTCTATGGAATATATCTTTATGCTTTTATACAAATGATTGAGGTTTGATTTAAATTGTATTTTTACTAAATTTTAGAATCCTGAAGTTTCTTTAACTTATTCGAAAGATAAAAATGAATCAACAACAGTTTTGTGTATTTGTGTGTACTTTGTTGGTTGTAACTGTAGAAGATTGCAATTTTAACCCCTTATATTGAAGGAACAATTTGTGGGATAAGTTGGGTAAATGATGATCTCTCTTTTTTGTTGCAATTATTTAGTGATTATCTTTTATTCGATGCACAGACGCAACAGCTCGCACATGAGTGAAGCTCAACGAAGTGCTCTAAACGCTTTGCTCTTCAGAACTGGTGATCAGTCTAGAGACATAGTACTTGTCCTTGCGACAAACAGACCAGGTGATCTTGATAGTGCAGTTACTGATCGCATTGACGAAGTGATTGAATTCCCTCTACCAGGAGAGGATGAGCGCCTAAAATTATTGAAGCTCTATTTAAACAAGTATCTGTGTGATGACAATAAAGGCTCCAAAGGGAGCTTCTTGCTGAAGAAGCAGCCCCAAAAGATTACCATAAAAGATTTATCCGAAGATGTGTTGAGAGAGGCTGCCAAGAAAACAGAGGGATTTTCTGGCCGTGAGATAGCCAAACTCATGGCCAGTGTCCAAGCTGCTGTATATGGACGCCCAGACTGCGTCTTGGATTCCCAGTTATTTAAAGAAATTGTAGATTACAAGGTGACGGAACATCATCAACGATTAAAACTTGCAGCTGAAGGCGGCCTGCCTGACCAAATACAACTTGTTTGAGCTTTAATTTGAGTTTTCGTTCTTCATCTTGTTATTATTGTCGGTACATGTGGCTGATGAAGTAGATTTATTGAAAAAAGCTTCACCCATCTGCATTCTGTGAACCAAATTTACAGAATATTTTGTTAGGCGTAGGAGTCTCAGACTTGGGAGCAGCATTACAGCGGAACCTGTTCATGCTGTGGAGCAAGAAGTCTGGTTTTGAGAGCGTAGAAGTCAAGTTACCTTGATTAAATTTATAAAATATCTGATTTGTAATTTAAATTGCATTCTGTTGTGCATTTGATTTACGCGAAAATCTAATAAGATTCTACTGGATGGATGTCACTTTTCGCTATAACAATTTCTTTTTTAATCTTTATAACATCCAAGTGTACAATCCTACCAACTCAGGGTGCATGATCTTATGTAAATTCACACTTATCAAAGCTTCATTTTCTCCACATCTAATTCTCTTTTGGGGGTGGATTTTATTTTCTTTTGGGTTGAAAGTGTGCTGGGTAAAATACTTCTCAATTCTGGACCCAAAAAAGAGGACATTTGCTGGGTAAAATACTTCTCAATTCCTTTACGAGATTCTTAGATGAATTTTAGTATGAAGTAAAATGGCAATAATATTGCCCCGTGCGAGTTTAGTAAGAGTGAGCTACATACATTAAGAATTCCATAATTCAATCTATACACATTCCACATGATCGTTTATTTTAAAATGTTTAATTAATTAAACCTTAAATTTATGTTAAAACATTGTTTCGTTTTACATCTTAAATTTCCTTCCTGTTCCTATTGCCTAAGTCCACACTTCACATTGGCTTGGTCTTTAAAAGAAAATTTTAATTTTTCTTATACCTTTTTTCATATTTATTTTTATCTCTTTTTATTATGATTATTATTATTCATTTTACTCATTTCATACAATTTAAGAAGTGTGAAAAAAAAATACTAAAATAACACTATTTATATATATATATATATATATATATATATATATATATCTCTTTATCATATTACTCTTCTTATTTTTTTTATTTATTCTTTTTATCGTGTCTTACTTCTTAACATAAAGATTATTGCAAAACGTGCTGCTGAAATACTCTAAATACTATTGTTAAAAAGAATGGTGGTAATATTTAATTTTTTGTACCCTAAATCCTAGCACGTTAAAGTAGGAAAGGCGGTGTCCCACAGGGTGGAGCAAAACCCGTTAAAGCCATCAAGATTGGTAGTGATGCGGACCATGCGGGTGCGCCTCAACAGTCAAAAAAACTCCACGATCTTTCACCACGTGTCCACAAGTTGGCAAGTCTTCTCCTTCGTGACCCTCCAAATTTGGCCACGCTTCTCTCAAACACCACGTGGCGTACATGCTGCACTTCATATATCAAAGCACACCCATTAACGGTTCCATTCTCATATAACACCATATATCCGTAAATCCTTTTCGTGGAAGAAGAGAAGAGAAGAGGAGAGACAGAGAAAGAGAAAGAGAGAGGAAAATGCAATGCACAAAGCTTTTATTGTTGATGCTTTTTCTTGCGGCGTGCGTGGGGTCATGCAAGGCTTGGGGTGATGATGTGGTTGAAGATGCCAAAACCAAAGCAGAGGAGACCAAGCAGTTTGCCGCAGCAGCAGAGCATGATGCCGAGGAAAAGACCCACTCTTGGGCCAATAGGGCCCATGACAAGTTCTCCGAGTAATCTTCTCTCACTGTTTTCAATCACACGCAGTTTCCTTTTCCTGCATCTAATGATGCTAATCTTAATAAATTTTAGTTATCCAAGTCCAGCATATGCTACCATGTCCCACTAATATAATTAAAGATAACATATTTTGTAAGTGAGCATTTATATTATTTCCAAGTCATTATTTAAGTGTAAGAGTCTTTAAGCATGTGGTTGATGCCATACCTGTGGATCAGGAGATTGATGGAAAGTTTTAGCAAATATGTTTCCATAAATGCTACTTTCTGATATGTTTGACCCGTGTTTTGCTTTGTCACCAAAGTTGCTATTTCTTTTGCATATTAGGCCAAAACCTTAAATGTTGTCATTTTGTTCATTAGTTTGTTTTTGTTGTGCCAGAAGTTTCGAGGACGAAAGGAATCACGAGATTCAAGACATGAAGTACAGTGCTGAAGATGCTGCCTCAAGGGCCACTGAGACAATGAAATCTGCAGCATCAGGTATTTGTTTATTCTTTGGCACTTTTATTTTAAGTACCTCCAAAGATACAAATTTGGCATCAAATTCAAACAATATAATTCTTTTTCATTTGTTTTCTAGGAGCTTCGGGGTATGCTTCTCAAAAGGCTACCGATGCTAAGGAAGCAATTTCAGGAGCCGTGGCATATGGGAGGGAAAAAATATCTGAGGTTTATGATGGAGATGCTGAGATCATCAGAATGCCAATAGATAGGACCAATGATGCAAAAGATACAATAAGAGGAATCATAGGTCAGGCCAGGGAAAGAATGGCAGATACCTATAATGATGCTAAACAAAAAATTCACACGGCTTCAGACAAGGCTTCAAGTATGGCTCGCAATGCCAAAGATGACATGGCTGAGTCCATCGAATATGGGAGTGAGCAAGCAGCTAATGTCTACGACCAGGGTAAGCAGAAAATAAGCATGGCTTCAGATAAGGCTTCAAGTATGGCACACAATGCCAAAGATAACATGGCTGAGTCCATCGAATATGCGAGTGAGCAAGCAGCTAATATCTACGACCAGGGTAAGCAGAAAAAAAATATGGCTTCAGATAAGGCTTCAACTATGGCACATAATGCCAAAGATAACATGGCTGAGTCCATAGAACATGGGAGAGAGCAAGTAGCCAATGTCTATGACCAGGGTAAGCAGAAACTGAACACGGCTTCAGATAGAGCTACAAGTGTGGCACACAATACCAAAGATAAAATAGCAGAGTCCATTGAATATGGGAGAGAGCAAGCAGCCAATGTCTATGACCAGGGTAAGCAGAAACTAAACACGGCTTCAGATAGGGCTTCAAGTATGGCACACAATGCCAAAGATAACATGGCTGAGTCCATTGAACATGGGAGGGAGCAAGCAGCCAATGTCTATGACCAGGGTAAGCAGAAAAAAAATATGGCTTCAGATAAGGCTTCAAGTATGGCACACAATGCCAAAGATAACATAGCTGAGTCCATTGAATATGGGAGAGAGCAAGCAGCCAATGTCTATGAGCAGGGTAAGCAGAAAATAAACATGGCTGCAGATACTGCATCAGAAAAATTCTCTGATGCCAAGGACAAAGCAAACGACGTTTATGATGAATCTAGGCATAAGATAAATCACATGGTCTCGGATCATGCTAATGATGTCAAAAATAAAGTAAAAGGAGCAGTGGATTGTGGAAGAGATGTGGCCGTTGATGCCTATGATGAAGCTAAGGATCGAATGAATATGGCTGGAGATAAGGCCAATGATGTTAAAGATAAAATGGGTGCGACAATGGGGCATGGAAGGGACAAAGTAGCAGAAACTTTTGACCAGGCGAAACATAAGGTGGGTGAAACATACTTGTCAGCAAAGAATACCATGACTGAAGAGGCCAAAGCTAAGTACGAGGCTGCAAAGGAGAAGGCTTCGGAGGCCACAGGAGATGTTGGAGCTAAGATGAGGAACACCCCAGACTTATGAATATGATATGGTCAGTTTTTTTGCCACGTACTGTTAACTATATAAGAACCTCACCACTCTTTCAGTTAGTTCAAATCTCTTCCGCAAGTTATCATATACATGTTTATGCTTATACAAAAGCACTTGTTAGAAATTATCCTTACGAAAAGGGCAACAAAAATCTATTCTCCATAATGGTAGGATAAAAGCCTGAAAGTCCCATAATGTTGTAGGGTCGTTGCAGCGTGTCGTAGGCTATGTATATAGTTATAACATTTTGCAGTCAGTGTATAAGGAAGTTTGATATAAATTGTTGGGCCCCTTTACTAACTTGCGTAATTTGTTGCTTTTGTTATAAGAAGAGCGTGATCATCTAAAAAGGTGCATGGTTTGATAAAGGTAATTCCCTCTCTTTTAATTAGTAGTATATGCTATGCATTTTGTTAGTGGTCGTCTTAATTTAGTTCGGTGGTCCATACCTTCAAATGCGTGTCCATGAGTCATTACTTAGTAATGTTAGACACGGACCAAATTTTATAAGATAGCAACTTTTGCCGGAACACACATAGTAATCAGAATAACGGGTAAAGTAATATTTAGATTGGAACTTAATTAGGTTTTCTAAATCTCCATGCTAAAAGTTGGAAACTTAAGTATCCTAAGGTCAACTTGCACGAAGCATGGACATGTCCCGACCATAGAATAGTATTATGTCATAAATTCTTGTGTAATCTTAGAGTAAGCACCGAATCACGTGAAGAATTACGTTCAGTGTGTTATGGGAGAGTTTATACACAAATTTATTTAAACTTATGAAATAGTTTATAATTTTTTTTTAGTTTATTTCTATAAGTTTTATCGTCAAATTTATAATATAAATTATTAAATAAAGGTTTAATTTACATGCTTATCTAAACACATCAATTTTGTTAATCAACTAAATCTTAGCCCTTGTTGGAGTTATTAAATGAGAATATATCTCATTAGTGTGGACACAGCTTGTATATGATTATGTAGCATATATTTAGTGTTGAGCGTAGTGTTATATATACGTACTGCTTATATTATGGCCCAGCGCTGCCGTTACATTTATGGATCATCACCCACAAAACTTTGAACACTCTCGAGAAATGGATTGGATATTATATAAGATTAGATATTCATCGGATGACAAAGCCAAGTCATGGTTGATTAATTTAATGGCATTTCTTGTTAAATCACTACGAATATTAAGCTGTCTACAAAATACTTCCCTTCTGTTTTATAAACCTTTAAACTCATAATATTTACATTTTATCCCTGAATATCAATCTTATCGTGGATTTTAGAAGTGATGAGATGGTTAGGGGAACAGAGTTTTAAGAAAATGACATTGATGGGTATAACTTTTTTTACTGGTTGGTCGATCATTGGAAATACCCTCGACGTACCCACCTATTAAATGAGTTGACAAACATACCTACTTATAAGCTTTATTACCAAGTTATACAGCTTCTAAAAGTCTTCACATATTTAAATTTTCTTATAGTTCTACATAATCCTTGTAATTTTCTAATTTCTGGTAACTAATATATTCTTGTAAATTAAGTCTAAATATTTCTAGAATATTTCACTTCAGTTAGTTGAAGCTATTTTCATGGTTCTTGTAGTTTCTTGAAATGTCTAGTATATGAATTCTCAATAAGTTCTTTAAAAATTCATGTTATCATTGGTAGCATTTAATTCCGCAACATTTACCCTTAAATTGGTCGTAATTCCTTTTCTAGTGTTCTTTTTTCTTTTGTTTAATCATCTGTTTAGCCACTTCGTATGTTATCTGACATCTACTTGAGATGGCAGACATAGTGTGTCTAAATCAAACTAAAACAAACTATGAATAAAACATGAGAGCTGTGGAGCGTGGGAGCAAGCATGTATTGGTAGGATTCTTATTAATTTTTGTATCAATACAAGCAGTAAGCAGAAAATGAACTGCGAAATATATTGCTTATTTAATATATTATCGGTATTTAATCAAGTTTGTTTTTAATTTCAATAATTTGATCAATATTTTGAGTCAAGATTAAGATAAATTTGTCTTAACTCGTTTATGAACACCCCTTATGTATGTATCTCTTTCTCTTTTACTCGTGCCATTAGAGGATCAAAGAATCTCTATGCTTTTATGCAAGAAATACAATATATATTTTTTATACCTTTTTTTCTAATCTTTTTTATCCTTCGCACTTCTCTTTTATGATAAAAAGGAAATATAAAATTAAGTGTAACATTTTCTCTTCTCATTCTTACCTTAAAAAGGAAGGGAGAGGGTGATGTAAAAATAGAGCGATAGCTCTCCAGCTCGGAGCAAGGATGTCAAACAAAAATTCTATGGAGTCAATATGCTCAACTAGGGCATTGAGACAACCTTTTATATTAATTTGTACGAAGATCACATTTCACAGGAAGCTTTGTATATTGCTCATTTCTACCAATTTACTTTGGAAGATAATCAGTTGAATTCGTAAACGAAAGGGAGAAAAGAAGCCTTTTCATACTATTTTATTCCGGATCTGAAAATGCTCCTAGTCAATGCACAATACAAATGTTTGTCATAATCTAGTATGTACATTAAATATGGAGATTTTAATATATAGTACATTGTCCTCAAGTTGCATATACCGATTCAGCTTATTACTTCTAAGTTTTGCTCAATAATTGTTGCGACCCTCGCCGCATTTCATATGGCTGGTGAATTTCCCTTTTTCGTACAAAAGAACTTTACTTTCACAATGTACCTAATATCATTAACAAATTAAAAGTACGAATTTATCAAATAAGAGAGGGGGGAAAAACACCTGAAGGCCTGAAGGGTGAAATTATTATCCTCCTCTTCCTCGTTTATTTGTCATCATTTGGGTACATCTTCCAGGTTTGTTCGCGAAGGACTATTGAATACACATTATATAAACATCAAAAAGGCATTTTGAGAAAAGAGCGGGTATTGTCTGCTAATTCATGTGTCGGTCAGTGTCCTATGTATGCAATGACTTATGAGAGGACAAAACTGTGGTTGGGACATGACTCATGAGTGTGGTGGGATCCTATTTTCTCCAAAGCCTTCTACATTGATTAGCCATGAAGTTAATAGGTTCATGAACCATGATTAAATGCAAAAGGTCTTCAAAGAATGTATGTATTTATATATGTGCATGGAATTTTGTTACAGCTAGCCTAAGTAGCTTATGACAAACAACGTACTATTATCCTAGTTCATCTCACAACGACCAAAAGTTGTCGTTATCTCTCTCTCCTTTTCTTCTTTTCCCTATTTTTCTCTCTAGAGTAATTTTGCGTAGGGTGAAAATGGTTATAGTCACGCCCAAAGGGAGAAAAAAGGTGAGAAAGTGAGACTTAATCCTTACATATTTTTCTGCACCAAAAAAAATCAGCGCAAATTTTCGTTCCTGCCTAGCTATGTTCATATGAAGGAGCCCAACATTGTAATTTAAATAAGATAGCATATTGAAATTGAATGATCAAGTATGTTAGTCATACATTTGAGAAAATGAGTGAAATGGGAAGTTATAGCTGCTGTCAATTAATGTATCTAGCTAGAGCTAGCTAGCTAGCTTCCTCTGTTTAAATAATATGCACATTCTAAATCTAGAATTATTCACTGAAAAAATTGATGTCTATTTTTGTTTGTTCTTATTTCTTTTCAAACAACATGGACAAGTCTAGAAAAGATGAAGTCTTGCCTTACATTTGCTGCTTCTTCATTGTTTGCTTGTTATTGTGCATCCAAACCTTGAAAACCTGTCTCTTGACACCCACTTGAGTACAAAATTGTTGTACCTCTTGCTCATTTTGTTTCTGAATCTTCCAACCAATCTTGTCAGCAAACTCCATCATCCTATCTTTCTGCTGCTGCGAGAACTTAGTTCTGAACCGCTTCTTTGACAGTGGTGCCTGCACTGATAACTGTGCTCCAGCGTTTGATTGAAATATGTTGAGATCTTCACTTGATGACTCAGCTGGGCCTCCAAAGGCCATCATCACTGGAGGAACCAAACTTGGTGTAGGGTTAGTGGCGACCACATGGGAAAATCTATGATGGTGATGGAGAGAAGAAGAGGGTGTAGGGTAGTGAAGATGACCGTTGTATTTGTTGGGGTAATAGTTGTGATAATTGTGGACAAGTTGTGGTTGTGGTTGTGGTTGTGATTGTTCTCCTTCAACCTCTTTTCGGTGGAAGTTGCGGTGGCAGTCACAAGCGGCGCATCTTAGTGATTCTTGGGTGCCATCTTCTCCACTTGCCATGAACTCTCCACAACCGTCCATCACGTGGCTTCCCATGCTTGCCGCGTGGTTCCTCAGACATTCTCGGTACCTGATCGATGGGGTAGAGGTTGTTGTTGTCGTATGTGGTGTTGCTGTTCTTGGAGGATTCGATGTGGTACCAAGAGGGGTGCTTAGATCTGGATCTGATGTGGGTCTGTGAGATTGAGCAAGTTGAGTGGGTGCAAGAGGAGGAGGAGGTGGATAAAGATGATGGGGGTGTGAAGATTGAGGTTGGTCGTTGTAGATTAAAGTGTGAGGTTGATCACTACTTCTTTCACCTGTTGGAGAAGAGAGTTTGGATGATGAGGAAGAAGAATCTCTGTTGGGAAGGTTGTAACCTAAAGTGGTTGGTATATCTATTTCCTTATCTTGGCCTCTCATTTCCATTCTGTGAAGGTGTCCAAGATCTAGCTTAGGTTTGATCTCAACCCTCTATACTATAATTATGACTCGGTATAATCTTTCTTAAATCATCATCATCTTCGTGATTTTTTGCTTTAATTATGGTTGTGGATCTTCCTGTAGCCTGCTCAACCCTAATTACTTCATCCCATCTAATCGAAGACCAGACTCAACCAAAGATATAATTACTAGCACACCCACAATTATTCTTTTTACTTTGCTTATTCTGACATTGACGTTCTGGGTGCTAATCCCACCAACCAATTTTCACTAATCAATCCTTTTCTCAGAGGCCTAAGGAAGTAAGTGTGAATGAGTGATTTAACTGTTTATATAGCACCACTATAGCTATGGAAAGAAAAGAATAGTTTAATTATTATTTTTTGGAGAAAAAACAAAGAGAAAAGGATAAAAAAATTGGTAGAAATTTAATGAAATGAGACTGTAAGCGGGGTCCCTAGGAAACCCAAATAAAAAGTATAAGACTCACCTCGGCGGCTAGTTTAGGCTATAGAGATTTGAGTAGAAGAAAGCTTAATTGCACCAGCAACACCTTGGGAGACACAAAGGAAGAGAGAGGAGGGAACTAAAAAAAAAACACGACCACACTCGGAAAGAACTAACATCGATTAAGAAAGACATCTGGGATGTTAATCTTAATCTTGATTTATCAGAAAGTGGTGTGGAAAAGGTGTTAAGAGGGCCTAGAAAGTGTTGTTTCCTACCACCCATCCAGCCCCATAAAAACCAACTAGGAAAGGAACAGAGAAGGTTGTTTTGCACTGAGAATGAGTGGTGAGTAGTACTTGGAAGAATTTGTCTTGGAGAACAACCGACAAGTTCATGTTGGTCCTCTCCCACAATCTGCACCCTGGTCCAGTTTTTAATTATTGCCTTTCTCAGCCACTCTCTGGAACCTTACTGCAATACCCTTCAACTTAATGTGTGTCCCAAACCAGCATAAATGTTCAAAGGGAGAGGGAGAGAGAGAGTAATTAAGGAGAGAAAGTTGCAACCTTTAAGTTTGTAGACTGAGACATGCAAATGATAGTGATAACCCAAATTAAAGAGGTTCTCAAAGGAAGGTCTTATTATTATTAAAGATTTTTCTAATTAATTCAACATTTACGGGATAATGACTTTTTTATTAATTACATAATTTTTAGTAAAAAATTATTATGCATAAATTTTCACAATTCACAGCGTTGTGCTAGACAAATAATATTATTAATCAGCTTAAGATAATGAGTAGTAGAATCCAAGAATAAGAGTAAAGGCCACCTTTCTTTTATAAGGTTGTGAGGAAATTAAAGGGAGTGAATGCTTGCTGGGCCACAACACAGCATTTGTCTTGTTATAATGTGTCAGATTCTCTCTCTCTCTCTTTCTCTTTCTCTTTCTCTCTCTCTCTACTCGAGGCTCTGTGTTGTGTTGTGTTGTGTTGGTGACTTTGTGCGCCTGCTGCTGCATTATCTGCAACCCACTCTTTACTTGGACCAATGACTTGCTTTACCACTTCTTTCACGATGCAATTGATGCTTATTTGCTACCTTTGTTAGCATCTTCTTTCAAATTTCTCTTTCAGGCATCAATCTTGTGATGTTTTGTTTACTTTCTAGTACAGAGTCGAGTTGGCCACTACATAAAAAGAGACTGCCGAACCGGGCAACTCTATTATTTGACCTTTTCCTCGTTGAAACCATGTTTTATTTTATATTTGTTACACCTCAAATCTTGATTTGGAGAGGATAAATTGAGTTTTAGTAACACATATGTTACGTCAAAACCATGGTTAGGTGTTTTTTAACGTGGCTTTGGATTTTAAACCGTAGTTTGAGAAGAAATAAAAAAAAATTCAAAACATAATGAATTTCTGTTTTAAAATTGTAGACAGTTTATGTAAGCTTTAGTTAATCTATCAACCTTGTCAAGATTGTTTTTGTATGATGAATATAGTTGGATTTTAATTGTTTAATAAAATTAACAGTTAAATTGATTGTACTCAAATAGAAGTTTAACGAGCTTATATAATACAACTAATAAAAACTCCAATAGACTACTTTAGCAACACATATATATGAACTTCCAAATTTCAACATGGATGATTTGCCTTTGAACAAATTGAAAATGTTTAACTCTGCAGACTATATGTTCCAAGCATCACTAGAATCAGAATGAATTTAGAATGTGCTGCTGATTTTTGTGATGTTATCAAATTTTGGACATATAGGCTGTAGCTCTACGGATTGGTTTGTGTAACTCAATTCGTGTAGGCATAAACTAAGTTTAGTTTGTATAATTGCGGATCTATATTGGTCAATTTGTAAAATTTATGAGTTAAGTAAGTTTGACTTGTAATACTTGTATATAAGCTCATTTATTTACATAAAATATGAATATCAGTTTTTGTTTTCTTTAAGTTTTAAAATAACCATTTTAGGTCTGTCTATAAATTATTTGGGTCAAACCACAAATCAAGTTTCTTACAAAGAAAGAAAAAATGAAGAAGAGGGTATTAGTCTGCAGATTTATTCATAAACCTATGGGCATATGCAAACCTACTAAATATAGATTCATACAAATGTGTATACTGAAGGTCGATCAACATTCAAATGTGTACATTGATCGCACTTTCGTGAGAAAAGGGGAAAAGAATTAGATTGGTTATGTAAATAATCAAATTTAATTTGTGTTTGTACACATTAAAATAGAGAAACTCAAATAATAAGTTATGTTTGTGAATATACGGTTTATTTAATTTACTCACTCTCATTTATAAGTATCGTTACATCTTGGCATTTTTTAAATAATTCTCACTATATATGGCTTAAAATTATCCGGATATATTTAAAAAATAATTGCAAGCTATTATTAAAAAAAATTACTATATTTTTTAGGTACAAAAATATGATCACTTTTTTTGGTAAAATAAAATAAAATCAATATGTAAAAGTATAAAAAAAAATGAATATAAGGCATTTACAAAACTGTCCATATATCCATTCAACGTGTCAATTATTGCTTGACAAGGAGAAATATATATAAACGTAGTCAGTAATTGAATTATAAGACCCATGAATTATCGCTATCAATGATTCGTAACATAAGGGGAAAATATACGATAATGTCTACTCAGTGAACTGGGGGAAGGCAAGAACAGTTAACTACTTAACTTATTGATTTTCTGAGAGATGTTAGATTTTGAATTACAAAAAAAGTATTTTTTAAGTTTTTTTTTACAGTTTTTTAAACACAAAATAAGTTATAATAAAAAAAATATTAATATAAATATGTACTTTACGAGCAAAAACTTGTGAAAAATTTCTTGCGATTAAAAAAAAAAAACCCAATACTCATACCTACAAAGTCCAGTTTCCAGATAGATTCTCAAATCAACCCACCTCTTAAGATTTTCAAACCTATATTATATATGCTTGTGAACAAAATTTCAAAATCTGACCATTGTACAATTGAAGATAATTAAGCATAATTAAACACCTCTTATAGTCCACATTACACATACTGTCAAGTCCTTCTCATTGCCTCAAATAATATACAATCCTCTTTCTTTTTTTCTCGTAAGTAATTTTTATATCTATCAGAACTACAATTCTTTTTATTGTATCAAGAGTGTGAAAAAATATCTGGAATAACATGATGACAATGCATGCCATAACTTTGCTCATGGAGAAAAGACTACGTGTATTTTATCATTGATTAGAAAGTCACAATAGAAATCTATGGTAGATAACTAAAGGTTTTTTGTTTTTTTTAAATGCAAGGAATGTATCTCCAACCTTTTTCCATACATATATGTAAGCATAAAATGAATATAATATTATGTAACATCAACTCAAACACGTAGGAATCATATCTTATCGTACTTTTTTATATAAAAAGAATCACGGAACTAAAATAATTGTCACTTCCTAAAAAGAGTATCTAACCACTTGTGCAATTAATTGAAAAAACAGTTTTTCTTTTTTCTTACAGGGTATCTTTTTAATCTAGGACGACAATATTGATTATGATTAAAAAAAAAAACTATTATGTAAAAAAGAGCTGGTTGCTTTTATCTAATAATGTGGTGAAGAGTATGAGAATCTTTAAATAAAACTAAGGACTTGTTATACACAGAAAAATTTATAACGGAAAAATACCATATTTTTAAAATTTTAAATATTACACAAAGACATTTTACAAATATGATTAAGGTAAATCTCTAAATATGATTTACTTTTATTTTTTTATAAAAAACATATACATAAAGTTACATAATATATTAAAAGAATGCCCAAATTATTTGCTGGTGATACGATTTTATAACAATAATGTTAAAAATATAAAACGTATTTATTATATTTAATTACTCGAATAATTATTTTAAACAAGTAGGTTGAATATTTGTGAGCACGATTTCAACATCACCCGTTTTAATTACGACTTATAGTAACTATTTAAATAAATAAACGTTATTTTGATAAATTAAAAAAATATATACCATATAATTAAGAGACTGGATTTAAAGATGCATATTGTTAAAATATATATAATTATTATAAGTATTGTATATATATAATTAAACATATAAAATATGGTAATGATATATTTTGTGATGATTTTTATATTAACTGAAATTATTAAAAATTATATAAATAATGAAAGTCTCGTTCATGATTTTTTAATTTAAAATAATTATTTGTGATAAAAAAATATTAAAATTAATATACTATACCTTACTTGATTTGAAAAGAGAGAGAGAGAGAGAGAATAAAAAGAAATAAATATGGAAACGACTAAATTATTATATTATTTGATATATAAAATAATTAATGTTGCCTTCTCAATACTTTTCATACTCTATCCCTTTATTGACTATAAATAGAAAAAAAAAAGTGAATTTTATTGATTTATCTCTCTCTCTCTCTACTATTTAACTCTACTAAGTAAGAAAATAAATATTAAAAAGTGAGTTTTCAATTTTCTTTTATGACAATTTCTTCCACCAGCAATCCTCTCAAATAGTGTTTAACATAAATATAAAATGGAACAAAACATTTTTTTTTTATTTTCTTTAATTTCCCCCCTCTTTAATAAAATTAGAATACAGTATATCCATAATTAATATCATAACGGCTGTCGAACACATATAAATTAATCGGAATGAAATTATTTTAATTTAATTAATAGATTTAAATTTGAGTTCTAAATATATAATCATATTAAATACTCGAAAATAAAATTATTATTTATAATAGTTTTACTGATAAAAAAATCATCATTTTTTACATCTATCATTTAAACCAAAATAAATATCGCGACAAAGTTTTAAATCAACTGGAATACAATTGTTTCCACGTCATTGTAAGGGTAGTTTTGTCCATAAAAATGGGATATTTTCGTTTGACGATAGTATTTCTTAATAATTCTCGATACAGTTGATTTTGTCTAGATGTATAAAATTTTCAATTTTGTTAACTTTAATATTGGTTTTAAGCATTTAAAAATATTTATTTTTATTATATTTTTATATTCTTTTTAATATAGTAAATGTTTTATATTCTAAAAAAAGTAACAAATGGGATTCTTCCGTTTTAAAAAGGGTTATTATTGCGTATTTTTTATTTTACTGAGATTTTTTTAGGTACTTAATTTTTTTAAAATTAGATAAATTTAAAATTATTGTTAATTTTGTTTCGTTAATAGTCTAAAATTATATAATTTATCTAATTTTTTTATAAATTTAATTGTTAAAGGTTATTAAACCTTACTCTACTAAGTTACCAATTAAAACAATAAATTATACTCAAAATAAAAAATTTAAATTTTGTCTTTTTTTAAAAAAATTTATATCCTATATTTTTTTAAAAAAATTTACTAAAATTTCAATTTTTAACCTTTTAAAATTATTTCATATTTTAAACCAATCATAACCACTAAATATTTAAATATAGATTAATAACTTAAGAATTTTAAGTAAAAATAATAACAAAATCAAACTTACTTTTAGAATAGCTGAACTTAATTA